TTGCTTTTCTCCGCAGCTGTTCCAAGCGCTTTAATTATGTTTATTCGCTGTTGTCCATTTGACACTTTATATAGATCTTCGCTAGAAAGGAGTTTTGCAAAGTCCATGTCATGTTTCTCTAATTTCCTTTTCAGCACCTTCTTTCTTTGAGCAGATGACCACGAAGTTAAAATCTCTCCTTGCATGAAGTGTGTCTAATCTATCTTGCCCTTTCTCTTCTTGCACAAGGAATTTAAGGAATAGCCTAAGGCTCATTAGGTATGATCTAATGGTTCCAGGTTGATACTCCTCAGATAGTTGACCCAACCACTTCCTCAACATTACCACTCCGTCATGCCCCTCGACAGTAACAAGATCTATTTCATTTGCTGCTTGAGGGAAATCTTCTGAAAGAACTTTCATGATGCGTTTTACCTGTGACTTGTACTGACCAGCCACTTTTGCGCAGCGATAACCCCCGTCTACGTCTATCAACCAGGAATGAAACTCGTTAAGCAGTGGGCTGTCATCACTACTATCATTGTCTTCAAAACTGACATCATCTTCCATCTCTTCAAGACAGTCGTCATTATCATCATCATCGCTATCGTATACTGATGATTCATCATCATTCATAACTTCCTTAGGCACTTTACCTTGTGAAAGATTGCTTTGGGAGTCAGTATTACCAGCGTTCTTTTTCTTTCAAAAACAACATCAACCACGCTCTTCCATTCTGGTTCCACACGAAGAAAATCGAGATTATCTACGTTTTCCACGAAATCAGTTAAAATGTCATCCCTTTCTTGCAACGAGCAGTTATCTGACAAGCTTCCAGTGCTACACTCTGATTCGGAGTCCAGGGAAGGGTGATAGTTTGGGTCTAAAATTTCCTCTTCTTCACTGTCGCATATAACTATTTCACTAGATTTGGTATTACCAGCCGTCACTGGTGGTTGAGGTGGTTGGATTACTTGGTCAGCATTTTTGCGGTTGTTTAACTCTTCAGATAGCTCGGCATCGCTTTCACACTGGGAGGACATCATAGACACTAACTGTTTAAAGCTTCGCTTCTTGCACTCTTCATTTCTTTTCCACACGTTATCCACAAGTTGATCATACTCCAAATCGCTGTCATGGTCATCATGTGTATCACCTACCTTTGATTCCATTTGATCCATTACTTTTCATACTCCAAATTACTGTCATGATCATTGCCTGAATCTCCACTTTCTTCATTATGTAGCTTGTGTTCCACTTTATCAACTTGCTGATCATACTCTAATTTGCTGTCATCATCATTGTACGTCTCTCTTACCTTTGATTCACAACTTTCTTCATTATGTAGTTTGCGCTCCTCTGCATTACTATTGGAGGAGGTCGGTGCGAGGTGCCCAGGGTTACTCACGTTTCTGCTGATAGTTGCTTCTCCTTCAGGATTTTCTAATAATTGATCATCCGAGTCATTTTCAATTTCTTCCTCAGCTTCGATTCTATTCACCAAACTATACTCATTTTCCTTGTCACCCTTGTAAAATTTCACCCTTTTGCGGCCTTTCCACGTACAGGTGATTTTGATTCGATTTTTCTTTTTTAGGACCATCTTTAGTTGTGGCGCTCTTTGCTTTGGATTTCTTTCTCTTGGCAATGTGATCTCGTAGCTCTTGAAGCCCAATTCTCGGAGCAGATTTAAGCGCATCTAAGTACTGGTTTGAGTTGGGATTAAGCTTGTGGATATTTGACTGTAAATGATGATGAAGTTGAAAGACACCTTTCTTTGAATGCTTGCATGGAGATAACGGACAAAACTTTATCTTCCTATTAGGCGCTTTCTTGTTTCCATTTATATATACATCTACCTGACGAAAAATCTTATTCACTTTATGTACATCCTTCTGATGACGAGATAAATTTATAACTGATTTCCCACATCTCGAACACACTTTAGATTCCCGAGACTTTTTCCTTATTTCAGAACTACCTTCCATGGTTACTATAATACAAACAAATAGAAAACTGATCTCAATGATAGAGTTGACAATGGTTAGCACAGCATAACAGATGAGTAGAATGATCTGACAATGATCAACACAGCATAAAAGATAATTAAAATGATTTGACAGTGATGAACACAGCATAAAAGATGATTTCAATGATTTGAAAGTGATAAACACAGTATAACATGATTACAATGATTTGACAGTGATCAACAGAGTATAACAGATGATTTAACAGTGATCTACACAGCATAACAGATGATTAGAATGATTTGAAAGTGATCAACAAAGCATAACAGTTGATTAGAATGATTTGACAGTGATAAACACAGCATAACACATGATTGCAATGATTTAACAGTGATCAACACAGCAGAACAGATGATTAAAATGATTTAACAGTGATCAACACAGCATAACACATGATTGCAATGATTTAACAGTGATCAACACAGCAGAACATGATTAAAATGATTTAACAGTGATGAACACAGCAGAACAGGTGATTAGAATGATTTGACAGTGATCACTAGAGTATAAGAAATGATTGCAATGATTTAACAGTGATCAACACAGCATAACATATGATTAAAATGATTTAACAGTGATGAACACAGCAGAACAGATGATTAGAATGATTTGACAGTGATCACTAGAGTATAAGAAATGATTGCAATGATTTAACAGTGATCAACACAGCATAACATATGATTAAAATGATTTAACAGTGATGAACACAGCAGAACAGATGATTAGAATGATTTGACAGTGATCACTAGAGTATAAGAAATGATTGCAATGATTTAACAGTGATCAACACAGCATAACATATGATTAAAATGATTTAACAGTGATGAACACAGCAGAACAGATGATTAGAATGATTTGACAGTGATCACTAGAGTATAAGAAATGATTACAATGATTTAACAGTGATCAACACAGCATAACATATGATTAAAATGATTTAACAGTGATGAACACAGCAGAACAGATGATTAGAATGATTTGACAGTGATCACTAGAGTATAAGAAATGATTGCAATGATTTAACAGTGATCAACACAGCATAACATATGATTAAAATGATTTAACAGTGATGAACACAGCAGAACAGATGATTAGAATGATTTGACAGTGATCACTAGAGTATAAGAAATGATTGCAATGATTTAACAGTGATCAACACAGCATAACATATGATTAAAATGATTTAACAGTGATGAACACAGCAGAACAGATGATTAGAATGATTTGACAGTGATCACTAGAGTATAAGAAATGATTGCAATGATTTAACAGTGATCAACACAGCATAACATATGATTAAAATGATTTAACAGTGATGAACACAGCAGAACAGATGATTAGAATGATTTGACAGTGATCACTAGAGTATAAGAAATGATTGCAATGATTTAACAGTGATCAACACAGCATAACATATGATTAAAATGATTTAACAGTGATGAACACAGCAGAACAGATGATTAGAATGATTTGACAGTGATCAACACAGCATAACAGATGATTAGAATGATTTGACAGTGCTCAACAAGGCATAACAGATGATTAGAATGATTTGACAGTGCTCAACAAAGCATAACAGATGATTAGAATGATTTGACAGTGATTAACAAAGCATAACAGTTGATTAGAATGATTTGAAATTTATCAACACAGCAGAACAGATGATTAGAATGATTTGACAGTAATCAACACAGCATAACAGTTTATTAGAATGATTTGACAGTGATCAACAAAGCATAACAGTTAATTAGAATGATTTGACAGTGATCAACACAGCATAACAGTTGATTAAAATGATTTGACAGTGATCAACACAGCATAAGAGATGATTGCAATGATTTGACAGGGATTGAAATAGGATAAGAGATGATCACAATAAATAATAGCATCGAAAATAACTTATCCAAAGTCCTGAAACATCGATCGATGTTTTGTTGCTATCAAGGGAATTTCTGTTTATAAAAAGCAATTTTATTTTTTAAGTAAGAGCTTTCACCCACTTCATTGTTAGAACAAAGCAGAAAAAATGCATTCTACGATTCATATCTATATGATTTGGAAGTTAAATATAAGTAAACCGATAATTATGTAAGATATTACGAAGGCCAATCATTCTTCAAGTTTATCGGCTTTTTCTCAAATATTGTAAAAATATATCGACACTTATACCTTGGATGCTTGCAAAGCGTATTTCGTTGATAACCACTTGCTTAAGGGACGAAATATAACAAGAAACCTATGTTGATCTTATTTTCTTACCGTTTGAAAGTTGCCGTCATCGACGAACACGTGAAACACGAAAACGAAAGTTGAAGTGTGTGAACGCTGACCGCTAATGATGTACTTCTTCGGTAATAAACCGTAGAACCAAAAAAATAGTTTTCTTTAATATGAAACCTTGAAATAGGTAAAAATTTGTCAAATACCTATTTTGAGTATTTGCTACGGTAACAAAACCCATTTTGAGTATTTGCTACGGTAACAAATACCCACTTGGGAGTAGCAAAGACCCAGATGAGTATTGGCTACCGTAGCAAAAACCCATTGAACGTATCAAATACCCACATGGGTATTTCCTACCGTAACAAAAACCCACATGGGTATTTCCTACCGTAGCAAAAACCCTCAATGGGTATTTTGTACCGTAGAAAATACCCACAAGAATCTAACCACGTAGCAAATACCCAGATCACTCTAGCTCTCTCTCTCTCTCTCTCTCTCTCTCTCTCTCTCTCTCTCTCTCTCTCTCCATCAATAACGTGTGTGAGGGTTGGGGTAGAGTTGATTTACGAAAGCACCGGGTGGTACAATTGGCGCCATACATCTTATCATCAGAACACACAAGAGAGAAATTTAGTCGATTTGAACTATGGAAACGATCAGATTGATCGCGCGAAAGCGAGGCGTTACCCAGCCCTCTTTGTTCCAGTCTTTCTTACATTCACAGCCGCCATATTTCTTCTTCAACGTTTTCCTTATCGCACTTTGTCCGATATGGATTTTCAAAACCGCGCCGGAGGAAAAACGGGCTCGGGTGGTGTAGCTTCGTGGTCAGAATCGAATAGAGACCGTCGAGAACGTCTGCGACAGCTTGCTTTAGAAACAATCGATCTCAACAAGGTAAATATATTTCATAGTTTACGTCGTTGGTTCACAATGTGTGCACGAGCTTGTTTTAACTCGCGTGCATGGCCCACGATAGGACTTGCACGCGTACATTAGCAAAAATCTATGAGCATATGGTATGAAGAGCTCTCGACTTTACGGTTTTCGGCTTCATTATTTTTGGTATACACATACATGTTCAACGTATTTTCAACTTTACTATTTCCAAGTTATTTTGAAAGTTTACCACAAGGTAACAATATAACGATGTGATTTTTGTCGAGGTTTTCATTAATACAGTTACTGATGGTATTTTCAAGATTATTTTATTTTAAGGAGTGATGTTGAACTTATATCCTTTTTGATTTTCAGGATCCCTATTTTATGAAAAATCATCTTGGTTCTTATGAATGCAAATTATGTCTTACTCTTCACAACAATGAGGTAAGGTGTTTAGCTACGAAGTAACTTATGTTACCTTGTTCACGAATCGATGATACTTTAATCAAGGGAAAGCTACGGAAATTTTTTCTTTGGAGTAAATTTCCAGTGAAAATAATTTCACATCTGTCTTATTTGGATGTTTTAAATGACCAGATATAGTTATAATAATTAAGATCAAATGCAAATTCCACCGCCAAATATTGAGAGTTCATAAAATTAATTCTGTACCTCAGTAAATAAAATAAAGTGACTACACAAGTTCTGGTGCTACAGTTTGTCTTGCTTGCATTTATCTGCTGAAAAGTGATTCACCTGAAAAATAGCAAACTGTACCGAATGGAAAAGTAATCTATCCATCATCACTACACTCTGAGTAACCCTGATTTATGCATTGATTGTCATTTTTTATTTTTTTAAAGGGAAGCTATCTTGCCCATACCCAAGGAAAAAAACATCAGTCAAATCTGTAAGGAGTCATGTTAATCATAATAACTAGAAATCACATTATCCTAATACTGGAAGACATTACATAGTGAAACTGAACCAATTGTTGGTGCATATGAGCAATAACTAGTGTAGGTACATGTAGGATGCAGGAAGAATGAAAGTCTGCCTTGCTAATTGAATAAATAGCTGACATACTGTACATGTAGAAATACATCCAGATTAACAATTCTTAGAATAACATTTATGACTTAACACCATAGGGCTCGTCGAGCTGCTAAAGAAGCAAAGGAGGCCCCAGCTCAACCAGCACCTGTGAGTACCTAATGTTGTGACACTTAATAAGAGTCAGCATGTAATTTTCTCATAACTGAGTCGTCCATGATCAATCCTTAAACTCCCAAGATCTGATTGTTGACTCTCCTCTCTAGCTGATGCACATTCCATTGTAAATTGGTTACAAGAATTTGATCTTAGATCAAGATAACAACTTCTACCTGATAAGTTTGAAATCCTCAATACCTGTTAGCTGGATAATGTATAGATATAGTCATTTCCAGGAGTATAAGGGTTAAAATACTACGTCTCAGGCAGTTTTGTTATATTTGGTTTTAGGTATCATTTACTTTTACCTTAGATAAATTTGATGTGGATTTTGACCATCTTTTTTATCCTGATGTGTTTATGTTTCAATTGTTTTATGCAAACATGCAAGCTGCCACATGTAAACTGTAATTCATCCTAAAACTTCATTTTAGACTAAATCTGTGCTCTCAAGATGGTGATTTCCTTGTTTATCTAGGCCCTTATAGTTATTTAGGACATCCATTGCTCTCCTTTTTTTTTTGGTAATTGTTCGTCAAACTAGGAAAGGGGTGCTTGGGTACAAAGAAAAGTTGTTGTTTCAAGAAAAAAAGGCATTTTGTTTAAAGTTTGTAAATTACCTTTTAATTTTTTTACAGGAAAAACCAAGAGTATCTGTTAAAAAGTTTGTTAAAATTGGTCGTCCTGGCTACAAAGGTATTAGAATATGTTTATGTTAAAGTTTTAAAGATTTGGCTGGATTTATTTTTTTTTTTTTTAAAAACAAGTTGTAGTTTTGGTTAGGAGCTCTAGCAATGTTTTGTGGATGAAGGAAAATTCAAATTAAACAAATTCAAAATCTTTTTATCTTTTGCTAACACCTTGCTGTATTGTTCTTTTCCTTTCCTGTAATAAGTTACAAAGCAGAGAGATCCCGACACTGGACAGCACAGTTTACTCTTTCAGGTAATATGTGTGTACCTTTGTGGACATACTTTCATTGCCACTGTAAACAATGAAAGGTTTATTTAATATCTGATGCATCAAAGAAACCGCCAAGAATGCCACTAAGTCAGTGTACAAATTGAAAATAAAATAAAATACTAGCACAGAGAGATTTGATCAGACAATTATTTTATTAATTGTTTCATTCTACACAATTTTTCCTTGAGCATTTTCACACTGGTTTATACCACTCTGTGGTGTATTTTCAGACAAAAATAATGCATTATAAAGCATGTGAGGGCCTGTAAAATGAAAAACTGTATGGGAATGTGGGGGGGGGAGGGGGTGGTGAGATGGGAAGTGAACTCACAAACCCACAGCCCTTTTAAGGGTTATGGCCTTTGGTGCACTGATGTTATATGACAATATCAACCATTTTTATCAAAACTTGTTTACATTGGTTAAATTTGACTGAAAAAACTCCAAAATATCTCAAGGTGTTTAAATCTCGCTTCATAAGTTTGCTCAAAAGCTTCCAAACAGTCATAGACAGCTCCAGATTGATGGTAACCATCCAATATCACATAATACTAAACACCTTCAACAGGCAGTCTACAAGAAAAATACAAGATAACTTCCTATATGCACGTTTTCTCAAATTTTGACACTATATGTGAACCAGGCTTAAGATCCGAACCTTTCTTTGCCTGGCTGAGCCAGATTCTATTTTTTTCCATTGGCACATCACTTTTTGACTTGCAGTTGCTTTAAGTAATTGCATTGTAACTACATGATCTTTGTGTAAAAATTTTTCTTCTGCTTGCTGTTGAAAACAAAGCTGTTTCCTGCCTCCAAATGCTGAATGCAATTTAAGTGTTTACAATTTCTTTTTTTTATTTTAACTGAGTGAACTTGAAAATGTATTCAGCAGTGAATTCCTTAAGTGTTATTTATTGGTGGAATCCCAGGAATATTCCCTTCATTACTGATGCATTCAACCACTATGTTTAAATAATATAATCGAATTAAATCAATCAGCCAATGAATTTTAAGAAGACTTCTAGTAACTTGTAGTCATGGATGTTTTCCAGGTGGATTACCCAGAGATAGCAGAAGGCATCACTCCAAGACACCGTTTCATGTCAGCCTATGAACAGAGAATTGAACCTCCTGACAAGGCGTGGCAGTATCTCCTGTTTGCAGCAGAGCCGTATGAAACAATAGCATTCAAGGTGATTAATTGTTTTAGCCTTTTGATGATCTCTCTGTTTAACTTTACATCATGTAAACTAAGGTCCACCCTCACCCACAAAATTATGCTTCATGATTGGTCAATCATCAGTTAAATTCTTTTTGGACAATGGGTCAAATAGAGATTTTGAATTGTTTTATGGATATTAAATTTTTTTCATCACAGATTCCAAGTCGGGAAATTGACAAAGATGAAGGGAGACTTTGGACTGAATGGAATAAAGACACAAAACAGGTCAGAACTTATTCAGCATGTAATTATTATGGGAGGAGATATCATATTAAGATTAAATTACATGTATCTATGAACTGTAATACACTGTAACACCAATACTGTAGTTCATAAAAATGTGCAATCTAAGAATTAGGAGACATTAATCAAATGGTAGTAGCAAGAAAAGGAAAAGGCATAGCTAGAGGGCAGGTTATACCACCTGGGGGCATAGTTGGGACTCATCTTAAGATACATGTGACCCTTACTTATGTTAAGAAATACTGATGATTTGTCATTATGAAAAGATCTGGTATTCCTCCAAATACCAGCATTGGAAACAACTCTCCCCCCCTCCTCCTCTCTTTCCCCCCCCCCTTTGCAGAAAATCCTGCTTACACCCCTCAGACTGTTATCAATACTGGACTTCACTGCCTTAAGTTTGAAACTCAATTTACTGTAAAGATATTAAAGTTAGGTTAGATTAGTGGAAGTTTAGCTCTTCCACATGGCTGATGGCAAATGAGGGTGAAAAGTAAATCTACGAAAGCTGAGTAAGTTGTGTTGTCTGGTTCATGAGACCCATCTTCCATTCATTGGGGTTTGTTTCCATTTTAAGTTAACAACAAGTTTGGTCCTGCAAAAAAAATATTATCAATGAACTCTATTGTACATTAGACCTAGGAATTTTGTAGCCAAGGGGTTTTCATTTTAGGGTTTCCTGTATGGTTTAACATTAAAGTTAACACTCTGTTCTCGTTTCTTACAGTTTTTCCTTCAGTTTCATTTCCGGTTGACTCCCATTCAAATTCAACAGCAACAGCAGAAGAGAAGTGTCAATCAGCCAGGTGTGCCACCAGGTTTAGCCCCACCTCCTCCGAGGAACATTCCATCTGCCAATCCACTCAACCCATTTGCTCAGCGCTGATAAGTTATGTTGTTTATGTTAACTTTTTAGGACCATGCTTTCTTTTTGACACTTTGAGTTTGACTAAAGAGTAAAATTGATTTAGGAGACTCTTAAATACTATCATAATAAAGTGGAATTTACAACTTGGGAAGGTTGTGTCTCTTTGGTTTCAACAGAAAATATTGGTGTGCCTAAAAAACTTCAGTAACGATGGCAAGGTAAAGTTGCTCAAGTTGCAGCTAAATAAGGAAATTGGGCAAAGGATGCCATAACCTCAATCCCAGAGATACGGTATATCAGAGACGCAGTTAGATCACACTTTGTGTCCATTTAACAAACTTTTAGGCTAAATTTGTCTTTTTGTCATTGGGAATTCATATAATTTTTTTTTGTCCTTATCCAAAGTCCCATTTAATTTGAGGTTTCCTTCTGTTTAAGAAGACGCTCTGAATGGCTCAAAATATAGTCAAAGGCTCCTTTAAACAAAAATGTCCATGAAACAAACTTTTGAAATGAAAACACAAAGATAGCCTTGTGGCATTTCCTTAATAGTTCAAACTTGCTGAAAACAGCAATAAAACATATGCGTATATTACGGTATACGTAACGGTATTCGACTACGATGAAAGGTTAAGGGAGGAGAGAGAGACTGGGCATGTCAAGCTAGTGGATAAGGGAGGAGAGGGAGACTGGGCATGTCAAGCTAGTGGATAAGGGAGGAGAGGGAGACTGGGCATGTCAAGCTAGTGGATAAGGGAGGAGAGGGAGACTGGGCATGTCAAGCTAGTGGATAAGGGATGGGACGAAAAATGGGCTTATCCAACCAGTGGTTGGAAGACTGGGCTTGTCATTCAGTTTCCAGTCATTTGTAACAGCGATACCGTCCTAACAAATGGGTAGAGAGGGAAGTTAGAAATGGAATAAGTGTCAAAACAAGACCTCTCTTTATTTTACGTACATAGTCATACGGTTGATTTATGATTTATTACCGGCTCCTAAAGCGCAATTTACACACGCTGCATACTATCCATGGGTCAAACTTGATTAACCACAGGTTTAAGAAGTGGTCTATCAGTTTACAGAGGTCCCAAATAGAGAAGCAAACTTTAATGACATCGCGAGCTAAGAAATACAAAAACGATACGCTGACAAAACCCCGCCTGGGAACACAGCCTTACTTTCGAAGAAACGAAAAGTTCGAGACGAGCGCTGACAAGAAGACATTATTCTGTCAGTCTAATTCTAGCTTGTTCCAGATTCTCGGCGAGTTGAAACGGGTGATAGAAGCGGGCACGCGAAAAACCGTGGGAATGGGAGTCAGGCCAACAAAAACCACTTGCCTGGCAAGCGCAACCGTCATTTGTCACTCACACGTTCTTTAATTAACCTTCTTCGTCTGTTTTAAAAGTACATATTATGCTTAAGCTCATTATGCGCCAGTCAATCTTGGCTTGACCTTTCTCGCCCCCCCGTGCCCAAGGGTGGTGAATTTGAAACTTGCCTGGCAGGGGTAGGGAATTTGAACCAAAAGTGTCTAGTAATTCCAGCGGAATACAAGTATTATATCTTTAAATATGGAGATATGGAGGTGATAAAGGTGAATAGTTCAAAACTATGGTTCAGAGGAAAAGATCTCCACAATCCAGGTTTTAAAGATTGGTTTATGGTTAGAAAGCCACGGTCGCTGATTTTGCCTTTTAGAAAAAATTGGGTGGGGCATTTGAACACAATTCCTTCTCCGGAGGGAAGGGCGCGGGAATTTGACCAAACCAAACTTGAAAAGTTCAAATGTCTGGGGGGGATGTTGAAGCTCCGAACTGACCGACGCATTATTGTTACAAGCGCTTCGTGTTTGAGAGCGCATACGTGAAAGAAGTATTTAGAGTTGAGGTTGGAAGAAAGTACTTTTGTCTAAAGTAATGGTTCAACTCTTAGCCTCATCTTTACGTTGTTGATATCCAAAGAGAGGGAAGGTCATCATTTTCATGCTAAATCGTACCCCAAAATTTTTCATTTTTCTCGGATTACTACCATATCCCCTTTGGCTCCCTCTCGAGTTCCCTTAACTTCTTCAAAATAAAACAACATCAAAAATATGTTCATTGATTCCATAAGAGGTACTGCACATTGCAGTTAAAAAACCTATTCCAAATCAACTCTGCGGGGGATCGGAGGTGGAGCTCCCTTGGCGTCAACCTTCAAGAAAGGTTCTTCAGAAGAGTCTTCCGCAGACACACCTACTTGGAAGTCTGGCGCAGTAAAACTAATGTTTTCGCTGGACATATAAGTCATTTTAGATGAGTTGCTGTCAAAGATAATTTTTCTGTTCATTTGGAAGTTCATTGAAGACCGGTTTACGTTTGGGTTTCAAAGGTGGAGAAGGGATAAGGTCCCGTCTCTGAGGAGGTTCCGGTTTAGGTACTTTCATGGCAGGTTGATTACTTTCAGTGACTGTCACTCCTAACGACTTGGTTTTTGTCCGCGGAGGTGCTACCGGTTTCACTGCTGTCTCTTCGACTCTGATATCATTTTTAGGGTCTTTTTCAAATACAATTGAACGAGGCCTGGGCATAGGAGTTGGTTTGGAAAGAGATGAAGCCCTTTTAATTAGCTCATCTTCGTTATCAGCCGTAGCACGATGTGTGTTTGAACCAGGGAGAACCAAATCTGAACTTTTATCTTCGTCATGTGACGTCTGCTGTGTTAAAGGTTGACCATTTTCGCCTTTTCCATCTGAAAAAGAAAGTTTAATGTATTGCGTTACGTAGCGTTACGTAGCGCTACATGGCGTTACCACTGTCAGGAAACTTCCTATTACTCAATGCGTTCGACCTCTATGCCCTTGCCACTGAAGAAACAGAAAAGGACGACACCCTATCCAGCGATCGGTTCTCTAGCACTGCCTTGGTCCCGCGTTCAAAAGAATATTTAACTCTCTTCCCGGCGATCACGTAACGCTAGACGAAGACAAGGAAGCGTTAGAAAATTACTTCGGCCCGAAATATACATAGTCTAACACCGACTTTTCTTAAGCAAGCATGTATATTTATGATCTATCTTCACTGGCCGGCAACTCTGGCGGTTTTATGGGGGTTAGGAACAACAGGAAGAATGGAAAGGACAAAACCGCTGGCCCGTCACACTTTTTCGAAGCTCAGCCTTCTTCATTTCTGTCTGCCCCCTACTTAGCCTAATTGAAACACCTGTTTTTGTTTCGGCTTTTTCAACCGAGTTCTTACCGTCCTCTTTTTCACTGGTAACACCATCAGGCAGCAAAAATGATGGCAGTAGTTTAGGATCATCTTTGGCTGCAAGCAACAAAGCCTGCACGTTATCAGCGCCAATGTGAGCCACATGTTGAACATTAAATGGAACACCAATACCAGGACCCTTGAAAATAAACGTTAAGTCATTATGTCAGCTGATAAACAGACTAATGAAGCCTCCCTCAAAATGGCGGCCGACAATAAAATCATTCATCCATCGTACAACTCTGTTCTTTTATGTATACAGGGTGCATTGACACATAGGACTGGCAGAAAATAAGCAACCTACATGTCAAAATAATCCATCTCTAAAGAGTAAAATTACAAAGGAAATTAATAACAGCAACCAAATGGTGCAAGTCACTGAGTCAGCTGTTATGGTCGGCAACAAAGTTCAGTAACTGAAGGAAAATAGAGGCATTGGTATGGTTTGGGATATATATTATGTTATTAGTTATACAAACAAAATCATGCAACTCCACTAAGTAACAGTGCAGTTTGATTAACGCTCATTTTTCCAAGTGTCTAACTTGGAACAATAAGCGTCTCTCTAAAATATCAAAACATTATCGAGCAAGCAACTTAGGGGAATACACAAACTTATAAGCTGAAGGTCGTTTTCTTTAAGCAGTACCATCTTCTTCTTGCCGATTTAAAAGGTCATGTATGTCAAGTGGAATAGAGAGTTACAAATCAGAGTACGCCCAGCTGAGTACCTGTTTGCCTTTCTTGGCGGATGCATGAATGACGTCCACTTTAGGCTTAGGCTTGGGTTTAGGACCCTCCGGAAGGGCCTCAGAGAGAGGCGCTTTAGGGCCACCAATGGCCCTTTTCGGAGGGGCTGGTCGTTTTGGCGGCGCAGGTCTGCTGGGTTTTGAAGGTTTTACAGATTCCTTCACCAAGGGATCAAAGTCATCAAGGGCCCCACCTGCCACAGATTGGCCGGCGTCAACAGGTGCAGAAGCTACAAGGATCTCCTCGACTTTGTTGACCTGAGCTAAGGCTTTTACTGGAGGTTTGGGTCTCGCAGGCACTGGCCTAGGTGGTGGTGGCCGTTTAGGTCCAGGCTTTTGATTGTCGTCACGTTTAGGGCCTTCGTCTATTAAACAAAAGAGGCGTTTTGGTTTAGGTGAAGCAGTTGTAAGTGGAAGATTTTCCACTATTAAGAAAGTTTTCAGGCACGAACCAGGATCATGGCGGGATTTCATAAAAAAATCGCTACTGTCGGTCTGATGGAAACGACAGTTTCCAATATCAACGTAATAGCGAAAAAAGTTCTTGCCACGAAACGGGCATAAGTACCACCAATAAAATGATTCAACCCACTATCATGCTCTCCTGAAGTCAAACGATACTTGAATTTCTGAGGGGAATTATTGCCTTAGTATCTCGTTTAAAACTTGAAACAGGTTTGGTGCTCGCAGTCTCATTTTCATCGAATGAAAAATGTCTAGGCAAAATTCTGTGGCAGCGAAGACTTTCCGATAAAACCTCCCTGCCACAAAGGCAGATTGTAACATAAAGCTGCATGACTAAACAGTAGTAAGTTCCTTACCACAGCATTCGTTGCCGGTCTTCTTCATTTCACGGTCTGCTTCGGGTTCGCTATCATCGTCACTATCATAATTTACCGCATAATTTCCTTCGTCTTCCGGTTCACTCTCGGAATTTTCATCATCCAAAGCTTCTGTTGAATGAATCCTGATTGGTTCCAGGACAGGTAAGTCCACTGACTGCTTTTCTGAGGAGGACGACAACAGATCTGACAGCGCCCGACCTCTGACAGGATTTAACGTAAAATTTCTGTAATCTTCAGAGTTGCCACTGAATGAGGACTCGTGGGAGACAAGGTTTTGAACTGTAAGGTCCGTTTTGGATAAGAGTGATTCAGATTTAAGACAAACTTGCACTGTTTTACCAGATATCTGCGAAAACAAAATCGTAAGTGCGTCATTTAGTGAACATGCATTCAACTTGTCAAACTGCGAAACAAGTGAACAAGTTGAGGGGTTCTTTTTTCATGTACGATGACGGGAACTCTTACAAAACCGTCTTAAGTAGCTCTGAATCAGTCTGCATAATACTAGACACGAGATGCCAAGATTAACGCGGAAATGCACTCCTATACATTTGTCGTTTGGACGCTATCTTTTCCTTAACGATCATAGTTTTCCTTGAGCTTTGCTTTCGCAGTTTTGAACGAACATACGAGTATATTTTCGTGCAAAATGGAAGCTTTTGTCTTTGCGCCCCAAAATTCTTTAAGAAGCTGCTGTAAGACCCAGCGCCCCTATGTGCCCATACTTCAGGCACAATTCCACATTTACCAAATCTTTACCTCTTTTCCGTCAAGCTCCAAAGCTTTCAAAGCGTTCCGCCCATCATCCATAGTCAAAAAGATTTCGTCATCGACCACCCTGAAAAATACACACCAAACGGCTACATCGAGAGCCCCTTTAACACGAGAAGGTTTTCTTCTACAAAGCTTCACAGGAAATTTTCCTGGACGACAAATTTCATTTGTTTGTGTTCTTCCTGTGACTTAAATGCTTGTGCGAACAATAATCATAGTAAGTCGACTGGTCTGACCGTCCGGGTGAGGTATTCCTGAGAACGACTTTACTCGGCAACGGAGTCTGATGCTTTGACAACCTGAGCGTGAATCATCTCTGAGTCCACTGATGTGACAACTTCCGATGAGGTTGTTGAGACATCAATCCTTTTTCTCTGAAAAGTCCTTTTCAGTACAACACCCTTGCCCACAAGATCACATAACACCATACGCTGTTACTCTCGGGTTAAAACCACTAACAGCCAAAAAAATAAGTTTGATGGTGCTCACTAGTCGTTGCTACAGGCCAATGGCAGTAGCCAGTTAATAAGTAAGTCCTTGTTAAGGTTACTTCCAACCTCCGCGGGTGTCCTTCGGCAACAAATATTCGTACCCGCGCTAGTTTCACTAAAATCCTAGCAAACTATACATCAGAAGAAGACTTAATAAATGCAGTTTACGATAAAGATATGATTTAAGCGAGTTTTCCTTTTAGGAAGTGTCAGGAGCCGATTAAGCGTGAAACGACCGAGGGTTCCTCTATTGAATTTATCGGGTATCAGATGCCGCAGCAAAAGCAAAGTGGCTGCACAGTCGTATCACAAGGAATCAATCAACAATGGTGCTGTCAGGCTTGTTAGATTTTCTGAATGGTTGTCTAGATATCGACATCTTAAGTTACAGTAGCTAAAAATATGCGAAGCGTGTTGCATAAATGGACGCCACTGGACAAATGTTTCAAATATCAAAATTTCTCGACGCACTTTCGTTTGTAATTATTCCTGGAATGTTTTAGCGAAATTTGACGAAAATCGACCAAATCTAAATACCCTAGAAATTCGAAAATTCCCCCAGGGGGTTCGCCCAGGTACGAGATTACGACATCTTCCTAATTTGACAACCTTTATCTGAAAATAAGTTTTTCAAAGGAACTCAGATGCTTTTGGAGATTTAATAATTTTTTCTTTTGGAAACCTTAGGTAAAATGTTGAATTCAGTTTAGCCAAATAAAAGAAAAAGTTTATTTTTCGGCCTTTGAAGGTGGGAAGTAACCGTAAGTTTTCCTGTAACCAGTTCGCTACGGCTTATAAAATTTTCAATATTTCCTTGAAAAGCGCCGGCAGAATGAATAAGTATAACGCCAATTTTGTAATATCTGTTAATATAGTAATTTCTTTTTTTAGACAGAAACGTGGCGTTACCTTACCATTGTCGTCAGTAACTGGGTAATTTCATTCTCACCTCACTAATACAACCGTCCCATAAGGCTCCACGGCATCAAGAAGCTCCGACACATCAATCCCAGCATCCTCTTCAGCTGCTTCGTCACTCGTAACCACAATAGTAGGGTCAGCAGGACCCATTGCTCTCATGACATGGTCATGTACGTCACACTGTTTCTTCCAATCAACCTGCTGTATCTCAATCTCTACGAGGGCAACAACTGGCCTGTGGAAGAGTATTAACGTAAACTTGCAGTGGGCACAAATGTCATCATAATTTAGTATGAGCGTAAAATCCTGTTTTTAACAACATGTCTTATACAACTATGTATCACGTTTTGTGGAAGAGTATTAACGTAAACTTGCAGTGGGCACAAATGTCATCATAATTTAGTATGAGCGTAAAATCCTGTTTTTAACAACATGTCTTATACAACTATGTATCACGTTTTGCTTTTCCTTATATGCCTAAACATGAGAAGTTAAGCCAAATAACTGGAAAAAAAAAACACAAAGACCCCAACAATTTTGTTAAATAATCGCTGATCCCACATAGCCAGTAAAGATGAGAAAATTCTCTCTTTAAGCTACCTGCTCCATTTAAAGGACAATATATGTACCTGTGATCTGAGGTTTTCAACTCAGCCCGGCCGTAGTATAAAACTTTTCCCGCAGAGAAATTAATTCCTCCCCTTTCATGTGCCTTATCGCCTTTCTTGTCTAAAAGGGAAAAAAAAGGCAATTAGGAAAACAATTAATTACGGGAAGACAGTATAGATCTCTCTATTCCAGTAATATGTCAACAAAGCGAAAAAATGAGATCTACACTTGTAACAGAATCAAAAAAATATGTAGGGGGAATAATGATCAATTGGTGACTTAAAGACTATCCAGTGTGTGTACTTCATGAATTTTCATGGCAATTTAAACTCGTTCAAGGAGTTTACGGCCCAAAATAATTTTGACACTATCATGATAGACTCTCCTTCACAGTGGTGACCATCAATAAAAAGTTGTCACAGGATAAAAAGATTTAATACCCCAGCAAGAAAGGACACAATCCGAATTATAAGCGCTGAAAATTTCGAGTCAGAGCGAATCATTTATTGAAGAAATGACCGGTCGAGTATTTTTGTCTAGGAGCTAAAGCACATGGCTTTGTATTCAGCTGCTAGCTGTCAAAAGAGAGTGTGACTTGTCGTCTGCATTATTTTTCACCTTCATTTTCATCCTGATGCTTAATTTCGCCTTTCTCGTCTCCTTTGTCTGCCTCATCCTCATCGTTGCTATCATCATCTTCCCCGTCCCCCCCTCCCATCAGGAGTGATTCATACCCCCGTTCCAATTGATTCTGCTGCGCAGACACATGTTTACGTACTAATGTGGTTGACTTGTACCGAGGCTTTCTCCGTCTCCAAAGTACGCGGTCGGTCCAGGCAGGAATACGCATCTTCTCGCTTGTATCGTAGTCGTCAGAAAATAAGTCGTACTTGTAAGTTGGAGCAAACGCAATTTTTCCTTCATGAAAGGCGCAGAAGACCTTACAAATAAACAAAATATAATCACTGAAAGAAATGACGAGAGAATAGAGTAAAGTTGTCACAACGATTACTTGTGATGTCAGTTATTTGCACATGCGCGATAACGAACTGAACCAGAAGTGCGATTGGGCGGAAATTTCTATCGTTCCGAGGGGCAAACTGAAGTTAGACAATATGGACCTTTTCTGGAATAGATAATCAGTTAAGTTTCCGTACCATTTTAGAGTTGGCACATAGTTTACCTTGTGTTCATTCCTTTGTTTGATAAGTTGATCTTCCTTTAAAAGTTCTTCCCATTGTTTGTTTTTAATCAGTTCTTTCACTTCGTCTATTGGCATATCAATGCGATAGTTGAAATCTCCACACCAGAATACATAGTCATGTGAGGTCAAGCTGCGACCCTAGGAGGACCATGTAACAACACAATTGTATAGAGTGCATCTTGAAATACTTCGCTAAAGATTTGGAAAAACAGACTCTTCATTCATAGATAACGTGCAAATTAGTTCGACTTTTTGGGAATAATCAACATGACAAATGACAAAATGAACCTCTGGACCTGGAATCAAGCGATAAAATGACTTAAGGGGATAACCAAGGATACTGATGATTGTCAACAAAAATGAAAAGAAATTAACATAACATAACAAAAGGTCTCTGTTACTTGAAAATAAATAAAATAATGCTTAGTAGAAACTACAACTTTTTTTTGAAAAAGTGGTGCCTGTAAAGCAGTCATTTCAGCCACTTCTTTAGCCTTATCAAGAGATAAGCGAGTGAAAAAAAACCGCACAAAGGCTTAAGACACAAGAGAGGAAAAAAAAGAACGAGCTGCCACTGTTCTTTGCTCGCTTCCGCCAAATCCTTTCGCACGACTACCGCTGGCTAAAAGGAAACTGATATGACATTCTTCAACAGAAGCCAGGCAACACCTTAGTAAGTGTAGCGTTTCTCTCGACACTATGGAAAATAACTGTTTTAATGTTTACACCCAAGAACCAAAAATTTAGATTATATCTGCCAATATCCCAAAAAATTGTAAAACATTTAACTCCCAAAGCGCAGTTTTGTCTCTTCGGCGGCTTAGAAGCAAATCGAAGATGCCAATCACTCCTGAGCAAGTCGATCAGGGCGCATAAAGCAGAATACAATGGTGTGCCGGGTACATACTACATCCTATTGCATGTTTTCTCACCATGGGAAAAGCTATCCTTGATGTAATATCGTGATAGTCACTGTTCCTATCGTTCACACCCGACTGACCGGCAGCCAGATGTGAGCAAATAAAACAGATGGAGGTGGCGTGAAGTAACAGACGGATGGCCACGCCTCCCTTGTTCCCAGCACTTCCCCCGAGGCCTGTTTTCACAGAATGGACAGCCACATCTCTGAAATAAACCATAGTACGTGCTCGATTCCTTTTGGCTTTCAGTTAGCGCTTTATTCACAACAAGAAAGACTGCGTTTACGTAAAAATAAGGTGTCATGATGGAGGATGGAAAATATAATCTGCCCTGTCGTTATGGAATTCTTTTGAATGCGGAAACGTCAAGGGTTGTAATCGTTGTTTTTCTTCCAAGATTGTCCCTCTGGATTGGTCTTTGTGATATCAAGACGTAAGCAATACTGAAACTTAATTATGATAAAATGCTTCTCGAGGACCCAATTCCCCCCCAACAAGTGAAAAGACTCTGTACGAACTTTTGCTTACGTTTCGTAACCGTCGCGAATTCGACAAATCACCCTCTATGATATAATCATCTTGGATAGAAGATAACATGGAAGAGTTTAATCACCTGATGAATGGGACCAGATGAGGCCGAATAAACACAAACATACAAACACCAACCAGCTGCTCACATGTCACCAGAACATACGCATGATCACGTGATACGATACGGCGCAGCTCCTCGCCCCATTCCTTACGCTGATTTGAACTGAAATTGTTAAAAAAAGTATCTTAAGTGAAAGTTCAAAATAAGAGTCCTTTTATCATTTAAGACTCCAATATAACTGAGAGTATAAAGAATATAAATAGAGATGATTGTCATACAAAAAAAATAGAAAATAGCATTATTTAAAATAGCGGAAATGACTCTACGTGGGTCATAATGCTCTATTTCTTTCCAGTCTGTGGATAAAGCCATTCTTTAATTAGCTGATGGTCGTAATCTGTTCGGTCCAGTACAACAACTCCGTTCCCTTTGTCAGGTTTTAAAATGACAATGTTTTTGTTCTTCCTTAGCTCCTTAAGAACTCTGAGTTCCTTGAGGTCGGCAGTCGTGGAACGGTATAAAGAAACATAAGAGTAAGCCAAATGAGAAAGATCCTAAGCAAGTTTTCTTGCTTGTTTGGTGTCTCTCAAGTTCTTGGCCATGGTGTGGTTGATGAGCTCAAAGCATGTGAAGACATCTGACTCATATATTTTTGGTAGACGGATGGAATGTGATAATCCAAATTTGAGAATGTTAAGTTGTTGTGATGTGAGACTGAGTGAGGAAATGTTGGTGACAGTCTCATTTGATGTAAAGGGAAGAGACGTGTTGCGAGTGAGATTTTAAAGCTTGTTCTGGTGAGTCTTGATAAATTGAGCGGTTGCTTTAATAACGGTGTGATGTAATTCCCATTTAAGAATATAAAAGTCAACACTGTTCAGGACACTTTGGACATGAGTAGTTAACTGATCTCTAGCGTGGATCAATTTTCGAAGTTCCTTGGAGCGTTTGGCGATCGCACTTTTCAAAAGCTACTTACGTATGGTGATAGTGTCGTGTCGGTTGGTGTTGCGAAGATTGAAGCTAAGAAACTTATGAAAAACATTGGAAAGATTGACAGTTGCGTACGAAGCTTAAATCCAACTCAGCTTTGCAGGATTTGATCGAGATCATCTCAAATTTTCGCAGATCAGCTTTCCTGCTATGTCGTGAATGATGTTTCAAAAGGGTCTTGATATTAGCAGGCAAGTCAAGAATTTAAAGAAAGCGGCAAAACTTTTGAGTTAGTTTCTTCAGTTAATTACTATACAAAGCGTTGAAAGTTGAATTATATAGAAAGTAGAAATGTGCTAATTAAGATGAATAGTGACAACAAGAAGAGAGGTAAAGCACGCAAGTGTGAGAATTAAAAAGATAGTTTTAGATTTACATGGTGTAATTATTGATTCAAAGATGGTTGTTCTCTTTGAATATGAATAGCCTCTTTTATCTTAAGCTGAAAACCGGTAGAGGCGTGATCTAAAACATGGAAGTTCTCTGCTGAACACAAAGCGCGACAGTGCGGAGAATCTTTCAAATGCCTGAAAATGTGAGAGGCCCTATCACCGACTAAGTGCTCTCTAACACGTGAGGAAAAATGCCGGCAGGTTTCACCGACGTAACAGGCATTACAGCCAGCACACACAAACTCAAATGTTTCGTCGCTTTCTTTAAATTCTTGACTTGCCTGCTAATATCAAGACCCTTTGGAAACATAATTTCATTAATAATGACCGACTTTAGGAGACATTCGAAAAGATTACCAAACAATTACCTGGTTGAAACAATATTTGATGCATTCAAGTCAACCAGCTCCTCAAAGCCTATAGCAAAAACATCTGTGGGTACTTTAAAATTGACATCACCACTTTCTGAATAACCGCTGTCCGGAAGTGTTTCGTGAAAATCTAGCAGCCAATCATGCATTGTTTGGTGTTTGTGAGCGATACTTCGGAAGTGTTTCCCTCCGTTTACATTCCATGTGCCGACACAGACCCGTATATTGGACCACGTGGTGTATTCAAGATGGCGATCGCACAGCTCCCGTAGGATCATGGGTGATGCTGGGGAAAGAGAAAGCAAGTTACGGAATGGAAATTTCACGTAATTAGCACAGCTTGGCACTTCCCCGACCGAAATGCAAATGCAAAAGAACGGACTTTCTATTACTTTACCGGGGTGTTAACCCTTTACGGATGATTGAGGAAAAAAAAGCAGACTTCTCGTGTCATTCCTATGTTACACTGTTCTTGTGTCATCCCTGTATACCTAGTCATTTTTTTCGTTGATAAAATGCGGTCGCTTTAATTCACGATAATTCGTAAAACTTTCACGATTTTTCGTTGGATACAAACCCAGGAAACAGAACATCAAGGATGCCAGGTAGGGTCATGTGACTTACAATGAAGAAACGAAGCATACAGCAACGCACGTGCCCTTTCACCCAACTCTCCAACAAATGTGTTGCCTAGCAACAACATGTCAATGGCCTCCTGTTTGCTTCCATCCAAGAAATTGTTGACGATGGTTCTATGGACTGAGCGTGCACCATCTCGTAGCTTGTTGATCACCTTTGGAAGACAGAAAAAAAACTCAGCCAACCAGATGCATAACACTAACCAAATATGGCCTGGTAAGAGAATATAATCTCTTGGGTTGACCAGTCGGGGTTTTTCGCGCTTCAGGCATATATTATTACCTTCTGACTTCCTGCGATATTTACCTTTTATGATTGGTCGTTGTTATCATCGTAATTTTTGAAAAAAAACTCAAGCTTAAATCCTTCTATTTCATGTACATTTACAACACATCAACTGTTTATTTGTCAGCCATTAACTTTCTCCTACTATACGAAATAAAATTTCATTTTTCCCTTGTTTTTGTCACCATGATCTCCGCCTTCTTTTTTCTTAATTAATTCATCATGAAGAGACTATAAAATGTTTATAATCTCTTGTTCATCATTCGCTCTACCTTGGCTTTGCCATCTAAGGCCCCTGTGCCAAGATAGATGCGGCTGATATGGTCGCCATTTTGTGCCCACATGGTACGGAAAGCCTCCTGAAATCTGGACAGCATTCCTTGTTTGCTTGTTAAACCAAGGAATTCTAACTGCTGCGATAACATCTGCAAAAGGAAGACATTAAGTCTAAACACAAGCTTAGCAGCCCATCTTATCCCGATTTCTGTAGTATTAGGCGTCTGGAAGTAATGCCTCTCTTCTGGAAAGCTTTCCTGTGAGTTATCCCTCATTGGTGCAGAGGCACGAGCCGGGAAGCCCGCAGGTTTCGAAGCGAGCGAGGACTGTGTGGAGTCTGGCACGAAAACTGATTTTAAGCATCACATTCCTCACAACTTCGTTTAAACTCGTTTCGCTCCTCGTTTCGAATTTTAAGGGTTTCGCCGCTCATGCGCAATGCTAATGATAGCCTGCTCATAAGCTACTTGAATGCAATTTCATAGCAAGTAAACCCCTGCCCTCTCTTTCCTTACAAGCATTCTACCAGGTTTCTCCCGCAGTTTGTTAGTACGTTGTTGAACTATTAGGTGTTACAGGGCCTCGCTTTTTGTCTAAACTAACTTAAGAGGACTTAAGAAGAGAGGTTTTTTTGTGTGGACGGGCAACCGGGAGAAGAATGAAACTAATTCTGGCGCGCTCAAACGCTAAAGTATCGACCCTAAGGTCTTTGTTTCAGCATTTTAAACCAAACACAATTAGCCGGTCTAGTCTCCACCCCTCATCTTTTCATCCAGATTCCACCACAACAAACACTAGGAAAGCGCATTCCCTGTTTGCTTGTTGGATCAAGTCATTCTAATTGCTACTACTAAAATTGTAGAGGCTGGGAGAGATGCAGTAAACAAAGTTCGACCGTGACAGCTTAATAACACAAACATCAGACGAATTAGCAACCACGTTCAAGTGAACAGCGACCTGAACTACTCCTTGAAAACTAATACTCGAATATAAATTGCAAGTGTAAATTGCACACCCACTGTGAAGTGATTCCAAAATTAAAATCAGAACACTTTGCAACTGATTGTCCTGGAAGAAAAGCCTAAGTACTTGTAATCTAAACGGTCAAGCAGAAAGAGAAACACAACACGGGAAAATGCGAGAGCCCAACATCTGTCGATTCTATTTTGCATCCACTGGTTGAGAGGGAGAAAAAATTTCTTTTCTTAACCAATAACAGAACATAAAGAAGCAATTCCACCATATGAATTTCTCTGAACGTTTAATTACAGATTTATCGTTAAATTCAACATACCTCAAGTCCCAAATAACTCTGCACACTGTTGGTACGATCTATGCAATCGATACAGTTTGTACGAACAGCTCCTTTTTGTTTCCTGAGGAAGACACAGTAAAATTGACTAATAGTACTTAGGAAAAGACAAACGCGAAGGAAACAGCTATTTTGCACGGAAAGATTTCAGCAAGACCCCCTATGGTGAATGAAAAAGAGGTGATTCTTTCGGGATCATTTCAGCCTGAGAACTACTTCAATTACGAAATTAAGGTTTGAAGACTCAAGATACTTTTGGAGGGTGATAAATGCTATTTGAACTATGAATTCACTGAGAAAAAGATTATCAATAGACAAAGAAAAAGCACCACACTTTTTAATGTGATCTCCTCTAGCAAAGAACAAGCCAAACTCGTCAAGAGAAGGTCGCGCCTTTTCCTTCAGCGCCGATAGCTTGTCCAGCTTCCCACCTCGGCAGTTTTGATGATAGTCAAAGCAAATCATGCGAGTCTCCCGGCCATGAATTGAGTCTTTCAACTGATCCTGAAAATGAATTAAGGCTTCAATCAAATATAGTATTTGATCCTTGGAGAACCACTGTCTAAAAAAGGTGCCACGTCTATACTTTAGGAGAAAAATTACTCAAAAATCTTTGAAATCCTAAACTTGATTAATCTTTTAAGTCTCCTCACAACTACAAAGCGCTATTCAGCGAAAATGTAACGAGATTGAAAAATCTACAAGTTCGATAAAACTGTCTTGATTTAAAACGAAATTCTGAAACTTAATTACAACTGAAGGCAAACCAACTAGAATGACTCGAGTAGCTGGTGGTTTTGTTGACAATCAATGGAAACGATGAGGGAGGCAGAACTGCGGAAACGAACAGCGGAGCTTTAGGTGTAGAAACCAGTTATCGAAGCAGCCACTTTTGAAAACTTGCACAGCGACTCAATTTGACCAATGATATCAACCACATGCCACATGGAACCTCACGTCACACACGTTTAAATCAAAACGCATTCCCATGCTTGATTTCGCTGAGTTTTACTGCCAGCATAGAACTAAAAGGGACGAGAGCCCATTGAACCAGAGAGCTTTATTACCTGGCATTTTTAGCAACGCATCCAACCTCCGTATGAGAGGAATAACAACTAGGTAGGATTTGTACCTGATATGCACTGCTAAGTGTGTTTTCACCTTCTTTTGTACCAAGCAAGTTCACAAGCAACTGTTGACCATAAAGATTCTTCAGGCTTGTCAAATGTCTGTAACAAATGAACAAAAAAGCGGTTAAAACCTTGATTGTCAATTCAGAGTAAAGAGACTACATTTATATCATTATGCATGGTATAAGGATATCTAAGTGAAATATTAGAATTTATTTCTTCCTCACACTTCTAAATTTGATGATGATAAAACGGCTTTCTGGACAATTCTAAAATGTTAGTACCCCGATATCACGCTCAGAAAACCATAAAACCCTGAAATATGTCTGGAATGTTCACTGCCTTATGACCGATCATTTGGAAGATTGTTACCTTGCTACTGTTATCATAACAGACAGTAGCAAGGTAAACTCCCTGGCACAGAAATCTTAATAATGATAGTAGCTAGGTTAAGTCTCTTGTACAGAAATCTTTATGAGACTTTAAAGACTTTACCTTGCTTCTGTTATCATTGAAATTTCTGTACAAGACTGCTGCATGTTAACTGAGGTCTAAGGTTGTATTCCTCTTGGGAAATTCGTATTTCTTCTTTGTTCCGTGCTTGTGACCAACCAAATCACAGTCTCTCTTTATTGAACTAATGTAACACTTTTTTGGAGCGTTTTTATCTAACCTGTCAAAAGCAGGTGAAGATGCTTCAAACCCTCTGGAAAGTTTGACTTTGTGAGAACCAACCTTATGAAATACAAATAAATATACTGTTATAACATCACCTTTTGTGGTTCAATGGTCGATACATATTATCTTGCTTAGTTCTACATTCATCAATGAAAACCCCACAATACATTTCTTTTTTTTCACACCAAGAACCACTGGATATAACTTATGAAATAATTGTGTTAATGTAGAGCAAGTATCATATAATAGCTCTCTTTTACATAACTAATGTATCTACATTGCCTCTCATTACCAAAGAAAATTGAATAACTCAATCTAACGAAGCAATTCTATCTCTGAAATTTTGCAGGAAATTAAGTCACACTAATTTTAAAGGGCACTTGTGTCACTCCTGCCTAGGAATTTGATTGATCATTTTTATTCTTATATTCTTTTCATAGTCTGATACATCTATATACTCTATTAGGATCCTCACATATTCTATATATTATCTTACATATTTTATGCTATATTTTTACCTATTTTCCCTAACTTATTCTTTTTGTTTTGTTGTCAAGCGTTTCGTACACGAGCCTCATTGCTCAGATGATTGTGCGACCACTTCCCACGTTGTTGACAATAAATAAATTATTACATATTACTACTAAAACCCTGAAAATTGTGAAAACACAAGAATCCGTAAATCAAAGGAAATTAAATTATATTGCCATTTATCTTTAATTTCACAAGACCTTGGTTTAAAGTCCTTTATAATTTGTAATAATTGCTGAAACACTGTTTTAGTGAAAAATTGTGACAACCACAATAAGTGTCTTTTACAATTTTACTTTTGATTTCCATTTCTTTAATTGTTTTGTTCAAAATGAAAGCAACTGCTATCAGTGTTTGGTGATAATACCTGCAAACCAGGCTGCTCCCAAAAGACTGGTACTGAACCTCGAGTTTGGACAAAAGATGTTGTCATGTCCTCAAGCACAATGAACTGTTATGACATGCAGAAATGGTATTAGTAAGGAAACTAGGTCAAAATTAACCCAAGTCAATAATCATTGTTAGTTGCTATTTTCTATGATATTTCTAAATACTGCATACGTTTTGATTGGGTTCTTTTTATGATCATAAGAGGACAAAGATATACAAAATAATCAACTTTGGCTTCTTTAATTTATAAGTCATACATGTGTTCAGTAATAGGACACTCAATTGATTGCACCTTGCATGCCACTAGTTTTTTTCTTATCGCATTTTGACATCATCTGTGATCTATTACAGAACAGAGACAACTTAACATAGAATCTATCTGTTAAATGATTTAACTGTCTTGGGACTTAAAGACAGTATTATCACACCTCAGAAAAGAGAATTGGCATGACATTGTGTACCATAAAATTCCATCATAGGAGCAAGGGACACAGATGATCCAGTCAGTACCTGTTCAGTTTCTACAAAATTAGCCACATGCCCATCATCATTTGTGCCTCTGACATAAAACCTTGTTCCTGCTCTCTCAGAACTCAGTCTAGACATGATACAAGCTTTAGCTTGAGTTTTTCCAGCATACACAGTTCGTATTTCCACTGCACCACACATAACCCGTAACAGCCATTGTGAACAGTCAATTCCAAACCTCTGTAGGTGAATGTGTAAGCAGCGATTCCTACTCAGTAACAGAAAAAAGAGGATTACACTAGACTCAACACAATGGGAGATGTAGTGGCCTAATGGTTATTGACCTGGGCTTAGCATTGGAAGGTCTGTGTTCAAGACCTCCCAGGTCATTGCACTGTGTTCTTTCATAAGACACTACTTTCATAGTTCCTCTTAGCATCAAGAAGGGCAAGTGATTACCCCAACATGGTCAGGAAGGCTGACGATGCCTGGAAATAACTTGCCACGGAAAAGCATCTTGTCCAGAAGAAGTACCACCAAAAATGTTGAATTTAATCAAATAAGCACTGCCCCCTAAATAAGGGCCTCCTTTAGATAAGTGCCTCACTTGGGACAAAAAAGTTAACAAGCGTCACCCCTAAATAAACGCTGCAATGGCAGTGTGATGCTGTATGTAGCACTGCTTACCAAAAGTCTAGGCAGGTCAAGAGGTTCCCTCTATAAAATACTATCTTTACAATAAAAATTACTGGGTGGCACTTACCAGAAAAACCTGTTATCAGGTTCACAGCTCTCATATCTTCTCTGTGCACACAATGTCAAATCCAATGGTTGCTGATCTCCAGAACAAACAGAGAAATAAAATGTTCCAGAGTTTAAAAACTTGCGTAGTTCAGCAAGAATCTCCTCATCTTGACCATCTTGCAATGGAATCAACTGAGTGGCATTGATACGAAATATTTCATTGTCATTTATCTTTCCTACTGATGTACAGCCAGTAACAAGAACAAGAAACAAACTTCTCTCCTGTTCACCTACAAGAAAAAAATATCCTCAATGAGATGACTTGATCCAGGAGGCCTTGGTCAGAAATAATTAATAATTAGCGGATATTCATGACTAAGATTCAGAAAATTTCCTCAAGCCAGTGATCATTTTTATATCGCCATCAAAGTTCTTATTACACTTGCTCCCTCTAAAGGCACAATTTCAAATATGTTCATGATTGTGCCACGCCATAGTTTTGAGCTTGGTCTTTTTCATTTGGTTTCTTCGCTGTGGTTGCAGTAATGATGAATTGTTTTCTGCGGATCACACCTGGTTGCCTGGGGTCCATCCTTGACAGTTGTGCTTGTTTCAAAGTCTCCATCTACTTCAGAAAATCAGATATTTTTTGTTGGGGCAATTCTCTCTTGGACAAATGCAGTTGGAGATGCAAATTTTACAGACCAGAATACTCACAATAGAACCTATTTTGTTAATGATTTCTCATTGGTTCTCCTGCCGACTTGGAACACCAGCAACAATAGGATTGTCATTAATAATGGAACCTTCTGCATTAACAAGAACTTTTTGTCATATTTTTGGGATCAGAATGTCAAGATCAAATGCCATAAAATAATGTGTGCATATTACTTAAATTTAACAGCGACATTCCATTGTTTTCTTGTGGACAAATAAGTATTTAAGCTCAATCCTTGTCCTGAGAACAATGATAATTTATCTACATTCTGTTCAAATGGTATTCGAAAAAACACCTCCATCTATGTGATCAAAAAACTCATCCAACCTCATTGTGATGAATTGCTTGCCTATGGTTAAGGATTTTAAACACCCATTGTCATTCTGCTTAATGAACACTCAATCTGTGACAAATAAATCAGCTGACATTTTCAACTTCGTTTGTGAACATAAAATTGACCTGCTTGCAATCACAGAGACTTGGCTGAATGTAAATGATGATGCAGTAAGAAATGAGTTGCCTCTGACAAATTACAAGCTTTGTGACCATCCCTGCACTGATCGTACTAGTGGTGGAACAGCTCTTCTTCCCTGAGACTTACTTCATGTGAAAAAAATGAATGATGATGTATTGCTTTATCACAGTGCTGCTTTCTATATTATTGATCACAGCATTCTCCTTAACAAATTATCATCAACTTGGTTTGAATGGCACTGCCCTCGACTGGTTCTGATCTTATTTGTCTGGCTGCTCCCAGTGAGTCTCAGTGCAGAGGGCTGTATCTGATGAGTTTGACCTGTGGCATGGTGTTCCTCAAGGTTCATGCCTTGGCTCACTTCTCTTTACAGTTTATGCAAGCGCACTGTTCAATGTCGTGGAAAAGCACCTCCCAACTGTTCATTATTATTGCCAAAGACTCACAGTTAAACATCTCATCTGATCCCATGGCACACTCTGCCCAGGCTGATGCAGTTGCTTCTATTGAACATTGCATTCAAGACATCAGGCAATCGATTTATAAAGACAAATTGCTCATGATGATACCAAAACAGAACTTCTTTTGATCAACACCAGACGGCAACTTGCTAAAGTCACAATTGATGCAGCCATAACTACTGCCTTAATTACTGGATAATCTATCATTGCTCTACAATTTACCATTCGGAATCTGTGTGTGGTTAGATTCTAACCTATCAGTGGGTGATCACATAATGAAAACAAGCTCTGCAGCATTCTATTATTTGTACTCTATCAGGACGATAAGGAAATATCTAAGCAAAGAATGTACGGAAACTCAGGTACATGCCTTTATTTCCAGCTGCCTTGTTCTATGGCTTACCAGCGTATAAGATTCAGAAACTGCAAAGAGCCCAGAACTCTGCTGCACGCCTTGTATTCAAAGGAAGTAAATTTTGTCATATTACACCATTGCTAAGAGCCCTACACTAGTTACCCCTAGCATACTGAATAGTTTTTAAAATTTTATTGTTAACTTTTGAGGCCATTCATAAACTTGCTCTGACTTACATTTCCCAAATTGTATCTCTGAAAGATACTATTGAAGATCAAATGACCAAAAGTGAGTGAAATGTCAGGAATTAAAGTACAGAGTGGCAGTTTAACTATTATACAATACAGCATGAGGAGCACAAAGAACTAAAATAAACAAATTACTTACAAAATTAATAAAATGACTTACCCAGATTAATTTTGAGTACTCCCAGACAGCCATAAGCATCAAAAACCTTTGAATATCCTTTCTTGATACTCTCTGTTTCCCATTGTGCTGTGAACAAACAGAAATGTCATGAAAATTGTAGATCAGGCATCTCATTAGGGTGAGCCAACATTATAAGTTTGCAATTGTTTATCAAACTGGCCATGTTTGATTTGAAGTTAAAGTGGACAGTGGGGGTAGGGGGCGGGGAATGGCAAAAAGACACCTGCCTGAAAAGCAAACACCCCCTGATTAGTTGTGCACCACTGTATTCCAGAAATTAGTATGTAACCAATCAAAATGAGTTAAATAAAAAAACTGGAGGCACTGTCTTCCTACAAAAAAAAAACACAGAAAGAGCCAATGAGTGAAATGGTGAGGCAGTTTCTTCAGCCAGAAAAGAAATGGCTTTGACAAAACCTCCTCCGCAGTCATAAATATGAGCTGATATATCTGCTGTGCTCTATATTTTCTAAACAACAATCCTTGAGTATAGCTGTCATTATCTATTTGATGATTTTCTGAAGATGCTTTTGCCATTTGATCATAAACAATACTTTGAAGCTGACAAATGACAACAACACTCAAAGGTTTCCCCATCATTATTTCTTTCATATAAACCAATACCTGAAATATCAGGCTTTTTTCAAAGCCAGTTGGCAATAGAGCAGGTAGATCCTTTCCTAAAATCAGTGTAGGGATTGCTTCTTTTTGTTCCAATTAATGTGTGAGACATACCAAATTCTTAGAGACACTTAAGTGCTTCCTCAAAAACAGAATCAAAACTAACAAATTCACCATCAACAATTTCTTTCTCCTACCAGAGTATAATGTCTGAATGACGCATTTGGCTTGTGATTGACAGCTTAACCACACCAATTGGGAACTCCATTCAAGGGCAAACAGAGTTTTGCAAAATAACAATGACCTTGTACAAGCATAATCTTCACTCCCGCACCCCCATCCCTCTAGTTATTTCTGGCTATGGACTGCTCCCTTGGTACAAATTTCTTTTATCTCCCCAGCCTTCCACTGCCATTAAAATTAAAGATGGCAGCAATATCTGTTACATCTGACATCCAACCACTTGAAACCACCGCCCTTCCTGATTTCTTGCCACCACCAGACCAACCACCAACTATAACCACCTCAGCTGTATGTCGTAAGCTACTTGGTCTTAGTGCCTACAAAGCCACAGGGCCAGATGGCATTCCCCCACACCTCCTCAAAAAATTTGCACCCGAGCTTGCTGAACCAGTAACTGTGATCTTCAATCGCTCAGTGTCATCTGGCGTGTTTCCAGAATGGTGGAAACCTAACATCCATCCCAAAGGTCAAACCAGTTACGGGTGACAGGGACTTGCGACCTATCTCCTTGACTTCAGTGCTCTCTAAGGTGCTTGAAGATTTCTTTGTTGAGTGGCTGATAGATGACATTAAACATCATATTGATCCTCAACAGTTTGGCAGCCTTAAAGTTACTTCTACAACCTACTGCCTATTGGACATGCTGCACAATTGGCTGTCATCCCTTGACTGCCCTGGCAAGTTCCTCTATGTGTGCTTTCAAAGCAAAGCATTTGATTACCATCTTGGTGACCAAGCTAATCCATCTAGGTGTTAGAGGCTGGTTGATTAGTTGGATTTGTAGCTTCCTCAGTAGCCGCCGCCAGGCTGTTAAGCTCTTGAACTCCATCTCAGAGTGGATGCCCGTACATGCTGGTGGCCCCCAGGGCACCAAATTGGGTCCAATCCTTTTTCTGATAACGATCAACAACCTGACTACTCACTCCCCCCCCTCGAGCCACTGGAAGTACATTGATGACATAACAATATCCGAGGTCTCCAGTTTGGGGGAGGTGTCATCTCTGTAGAACGACATCGACTGCATTTCACAATGGGCCCAGCAGAACAACATGAATCTAAATGTAAAAATGTAAGATCATGACCATCTGTCCACTCAAAAACAAACCCGTTCCCCCAATGTTCTCTATCAATAATTTACCTCTATAGACAGTTTCATCTTACAAAGTTCTCGGTCTGACCCTGTGTGACACCCTGAGGTGGAATGATAATACCAACGACATCTTCTCCAAAGCGTCCAAGCAACTGCACATTCTTAGGGTCTTGAAGCGCACTGGGGTCCCTCCAGTGGACCTTGTCACCATCTATAGCGCCTTGGTTTGCTCTGTCCTAGAATACTCTTCCGTTGTCTGGGCTACCTGCCTTCCTCGCTTCCTCATTGACCAGCTAGAAGCTATCTAGAAGAGGGCTCTGCGAATTGTATATCCTGACCTCCACTATCAACAGGCCCTTGCGCAAGCCAACATTACCAGTTTAGAGCATAAACGCGCCCATCTGTGTCTCAAAGTGTGGTAAAATATCAAAAATAACCCAGCCTGCCAGCTGCATTGTCTCCTCCCTCCCGTGCGATCCAAATGCCACTCTCACCATATTAGGAACAGTAGCAGTTCTAGCTGTTTTCAGTATAAACCAAAACGCTTTGGTTCTAGTTTTTTCCCAGCAATGGCAAAAATCAACTAATCAATAGGAGTCTGGTTATTTTTTATAATAGTATTTTACCCATATCCGAATTGTAAATAATTTATAAATAGCCTGTAATCCCAGTCCCTTCAAAACAAATGTAACTTTATTTCTTGTATCATGTAGGCACACTGTAATTCATAGTTTTTATGCCATTGTGTGTATTTTAATAAACTATTATTATCATTATTATAATTTCCATTAAGAAAATACTGAGCACTTGCTTGCCAAAATTACATCTGCTCTGCACACTAAAACATTCCATGATACTCTGCATCTGTTCACTAAAGATCACATATCTTTATAACAACTTTATGTAAATAGTAATAATATATATAATATATTATTATTAAAAAAGGGTTATAGAGGGAAGGAACTTATCCTCATTGCAAACTATATCCCAGATATAAATATTTAGTACTATGAAATATACATAATTATACACACTGAAACATTTTACATACAAGCATATATCTATATAAATATAAAATCTAAGTAAAGAAGACATATATAAGATAAAAATTCTGTTGAAATGATGAATAATTAAATGATGTATAATGTATAGAATAACTTAATTTTGTACTTATAGGCCTAGTTAAATAATGTTGATTTTAGAGCTTTCTTAAAAGTATTCATTAGGTCAAATTCAACTACTGATGATGGTAAACTGTTCCATGTGTCGATATATCTGTGCCAAAAAGAATACTTAAAAATATCTGTACAGCAAAATGGTTTATAGAGTTTAGACTGATGACTTTCTCTTGATTGCCTGTTACTGAAGGTTATGTAATCATTAGTGTTTACAGAGTAGTGTCCTCTAATGAACTTAAAAAGCTAAACCAAACTAAGAAACTCTCTGTGTTGAACTAGCATCAGTAGTTTCAAGGATTTCAATAACATTCCTTTGTACACATTCAAGTTTTTCAAACAAATATGTTTGGTGAGGATTCCACACTTGACAGGCGTACTCGAGTATTGGACAGATCATGGCTTTATAACCAGTGAAAAGAGCCTTAGAGTGAGATCCAAATGTCCCCTTGAGTAAGCCCAATAATCTGTTCAATCTTGCAACAACAGACAGTAAATGGGGTTTCCAAGATAAATCATTGGAAAGAACCACCCCAAGATGTTTGTGTGTAGACACCTGGGTAAGTAGCTAGCTATTAATAGTGTAGTTGCACGGAGAGGGAGCTCTAGCCCTGGTGAACTTCATGGACTTGCATTTGTCAGCATTTGCTCTTAAAAGCCACAAGCCACACCAATCAGTGACTTTATCTAGACTCTCCTGAGCAGTGATGGATGTTTGAGAATTGGAGGGCAGCTTACTCAAGCAAACATTTGAACATATCAAGTCAGAATGTGGTGAGAACAAAAAGGTGGCATATGAGAAACAGCTACATAACTAGCCAATTTTCAGGCCTTGATTCCTCAGTAGAAAATACTAAGTTAATTCACAGAACAGCAAAGTTTTCAAAGACTGTGAACACTTGATGTTGTTGCATTACATGAATTAAAAGTGATAGAACTATTCTTTCATTTAAAATTATTTCTCGCATATTTCTTTTGAGAATTTTTCACCCATCACTGCCTCACTCAAAATTCTTTTAATCGCTGCATGGCCTCACATTACTTCAAGATCCCTTTATAGGCATTCGGATATTTAGATTTGCTTTGCCAGACCCTATATAAATAAAGGTTAAACCCACGCCTGCTAACGATCACTCCTTGGTTCCATATAAAGGACAGACAGTTGTTAATTGTCTGCGCTATGCAAATATCATCAGATGCATTCGATCGAAACAATTTAATTTAAGTTGGTTTGATCAATTAAAAGGAACGTCAGAACGCGAACGAGAAAGAGTTTTAGAATAGTGCTAGTGGAGATACATGTCAGGTGCCGATTTTCTTTGAAAAACAAAATAGCCATAACGTCATTCTTTCCGGAAACAGGGGAAAAGATCGCATAAAAAAAATTTGTTACTTACACAGCTCAGCGATTGCCCCACTCTCAAAGAGTAGTGTATCAGGTCTCCCTTTGAATTCCAATAACACGGAGACAGGATCTTTGTCTATCTTACTATAACAAACGAACGACTTTCCAATCAACATTCTCCACGGCGTCCAAGAGGATCGTGTTCGCTCTAAGAAATAGGAAATGCCGGTAAAAAGAAAAACTGTTTACAATTCCACACCTCCGTCTTGTCCGCCATCTTGTATACTAATTCCGCAGACCAATGTGATTGGTTTGTGATTGGACGCACGGATGGATGAGGAGGGAGACGGGGAGGGGAATGTGGGGTGGACGGGGGACGGGGAACGGGTGGGAAAAGGAGGAATAAGGATAGAGGCCGCTTTAGTTCACCCGGGTGACGGGATGAAAAAGAAGGAATAAGGGAAGGGGCCGCTTTAGTTCACCCGGTTCTACCAATAGGGTTACATGGAGTCCCAAAGTGAAAGAGTACGTGCCGCTAGGTCTTTGAGGAAAAACAGATGATACAATTGATAATTGGTTTATGGTATGGATGCACTTTGGAAATTAAATTTGGAGAACACAAGAAAATCTGAAGAGTCACTTAAGGCGAATCCAAGGGCAACTCTCGCTGCTAAAGGGCTTACCAACAATTCTTTTACAGCAAGAGGACACACTGGTCTTGTTAGATCGATGGTTTATCAGGAATATTGTCATGGAACATTCTTTGAGCAAGTTGGCCATCTGTTATCACGCGATCGGCTCTTTGAATTGGTTGAAGAATACAGAGACGAAAAACGTCGAATTGAAATACTAAAATTTAAGCGTAGTTTTTGCTTGAAAAATGTCGGTTACCCAAAGGAAGGTTTTGACTCCTCACATCGATGTCAATGTTGCCTTTCAAGGTGCATTTGTCTAGGAGAGGTTCCAGAAAACTTTCAGTTTTCTCAGCGGCCGCAAGACTTAAATTTTCGATTGAAAGTTCAACTGTAAATGAAGATACTCGTGACACCCGCCGATAATTGACTATAGGGAAATTAAGCAATCTGAACTCGTGGGTGAACTAGACGAGAACTTACTGGTGAAATGCAACTTCCCATTCAACATCATGTCAGATAATTTAGTTTTAATAACTGAGTTGATATTGCAAATTGACCACAGTAAGGGGTTTCTGAAGCTGACGCTTTGGGCGTTAGCCCTTCGTCAGAGAGATTGAATCACGTTACACTGACGTTCGGCTGAGCGTTCTTAGCTAAGTAAACCATGATGGCTTTATAAAGGCCAGATAACACAAGCGCGCTATTTGACATGCAATGAGCCTACTGTTATTTCACAAGAAATTATAAAAAGTTTATAATCTGTTGTATTTCATGGATAGACAACGTACCAGTGAGTGTGAGCTATTTAACGGACTAGTTTTTTCAATTATATTATGGTTTAATTAAAATGCTTCATGAATTCATTTTTACCAACAGTGACCAGATGATTAAATTTTTTCACTAAACCTGAAAAATATAAGGACAGATTTGAAGTATCTTCTTCCCCTTTCCTACAATCAAGTTATCTTTTTATTTAGTTTAACATAACTCTTCAATCCCTGTATAAAGCAGTCATACAAATGAATTAGCTTAGGAAAAACCACAGTAATATTTAAAGGTAAAGAGGACAAGCAGATCTATTATATACATCACACTGTCCGAGTAGGGATAAATACAGCAATAACAAATAAAACTTTATCTTTTGAAATAGTCATCACCGCAAAAATTTCGACCAAAATGAATCACACGACGGTCTCTTTCATTCCCAGCGATAGATTCAACGTAGAGGAAATTGTGGTTTTTGGTTTGTTGGGGCTTCTTATTGTATTAGGAAACACTGTGAGCATTATAATGTTCTGGAGAAGAAGGTTCTTCATGGAAAGATCATCGATTCTATTGATAAATATCAGTGTTACTGACTTTATCGTTGGCTTGGTTGTCATTTTTACAGCAATCGTGGGGAACCTTTTTCTACAAGATGGCAGTAACGGCGTTAAGAATATCCCAATAACGATCATCATCCCATTTGACGTGTTTTCTGGGTTAAGCTCAATCTCCTTCCTCACCGCCATTGCGGTGGAGAAAACCCACACCTTACTTCGACCTCTTCGCCATGTCACCACGGCAACACGTAATTACCGTAGTTATTCGGTTATAAGGCGCACCGTTTTTTTCAAGAAATTCCTAATTTCTACTAAAAATTACCGCCAAAGTTTGGATGCGTCTTATAGGTGAATATTTTCCCGAAAAAATTTTTTTTGATCACAGTTACTGGTACGATTTCAAGCAAATAAAATGACACACACACATTGACTTTTATGAATATGGTGGTTCTGAAAAGACAAGCGAAGTCAAATTTGCATAGATGTGATACGTGCAGGAGAGCACGTGTTTAGTAATTTGATACGTCACAAAACAAAACGAAAATAAACAAGCGAAGAGGTAAATACCTTCTTCATCCTTGCAGCCTTTTTAGTGCACTGAGACCTGCATTCTCGGCGGTACATCTTGTTTAATCAAGGCTTTTGTTTGTGTGCGTGGTCGCGTGTGCGACAATTCTGCTTTTGTTGATTAACGGTAAACTAAAATCAATACGCGACTTTTTCGCTTTTTTGTAAGTTTATGAAAGAATTTACAATAAACTTGACCGATCTTTACCCCCAAACAACGGTGCGCCTTATAACCAAGTATTTTAGCGATTTTCTCAGTTTGAAAACATGCAATAATGAAGTTGCCGAATTGGGGGTGCGTCTTATAGCCGAGTGCGCCTTATAACCGAATAACTACGGTATGTCATTTTCATCTCCAGCTTGTAGGTCTTTACAGGCTTTCTATCTTTTTAGTGCTCTTTTCATGGTGTGAATACCTGAACTTTATTTTAAATACCACTGTGGTACCTGCATTGGACTGGCCGTTCTTGCGTCTCTTACACTACAATATGGGTCAAACTTAATCAAAGAGACTTTGTCCCTCAAAGCCCAGAGACAGCCCGAACAAAAAACTGGTTAAAACACTTTTTCTCTTTGGCTTAAACACGACAATTCCAACGATAGAATATCCCTAAAAGGTGCTAACCATGGGACGAAAGGTAAGGAACACAGAGGTATTACAGAGGTAATACACACACCGTATTTCATAAGAATTTATTTACAAGTACATAAACTTGATAAGCATTGCTCCATCTATAGTAAATCAGCGAGTTATGTCATAAATGTACATTTGCTTAACAGAAACAGGATTGAGGAGGTTCACAAGAATTTTACGTGTCATTGAAACAAATCCTATAATTAAACTTTACTAGAAATTAAAACTACGCTTCGTAAAATCTAATCTAATTTAGCTGATAGTAATCGTGTAATTGTAAACTTCTAATTAAAATTCTAAAATACAATATTCTTAGAGTCATCATTGCGGGTTCATTTTTTAACTGATTGCCCCGCTAGAGAACTTAACGTTCAATCGAAAGACTAAAAAAGCAAATTAAGGAACTTCATAACACCACGAACTCTACAATGGTTGGTAGACAACTTGGATAAATTTGGATGAATCTCTGTTTTCAAAGACTTTGAACGCGTGCAAAAACGTAGACAGTTAGGTGTGACCGGCAGTGCCTCAAAACATCGATCCATCAACATGCTTTAAGCTCCAATAAACCCATCCTCTAACTGAGAACTAAACATTAAAACCACTGACTAAAAAACAACTCGTGAAATTTATACCAGTTCCCACATAATCCTCTAAGTTTCAATAAGATACATGTCGTTTAAGCCCAGTAAACGTGATTTTAATTCTTAATAGACTAAAACTGATATATTTCCATTATTGCTATTTACAAGAACATAGAGGGAACATTGGTATCAATGGAATGCATTGAAACCATGTTGTCGATTCCTCTTTCTCTATACCCCAGGGGAGGGTTACTCGGTGCACTTTCCTCACAGCAACAAAAAAAAATGCGCCTGACTCCTTTCCTAAAATCTTTCACGCGCAGAGCATAAATAATGGGGTTTACAACTGAGTTAAAATAATGGAGGAATTTCGTAGCGTATACTGCGTGATAGAGACAGGCAAAGTCACCTGGGCTACATGAAAGGGTTGCACCCCGCTGAAAGTGAAAAATGTAATTAATCACTTTAAAGGGCAACCAAGTGACTATAAAAATCAAGCTCAAGATCAGGAGAGTAACCGCCATCCTCTTCTGAAAGTCATCGCTTTTGTTGCGCGCACCCAGTAAAATGCAGGCGATCACTGAATAAGCGACCACAATAGTTATCATTGATAAGGCAAGTAAAATCATGATAAACAGGAATACCCCCTCATTATCTGCTGCACCGACATGCTTCTCTCGGAGAAACGACAAAACGCCGAGTAGCACCGATAAAAGCCAGGTCGAGGTGATTACGATGTAGTAAACGATAGGTTTCAAGTTATCATGCCCGACGGGAGACAAAGCTGCGTAAAGTCTCTCCAAAGCGATAGCGACCAGGAAGAAAATCGAGGCATACGAGGCAAATATCTCGATGGCGGTCTGGGCAGGTTGTACGTGATCGTCCACATCCCACCAATCGGTAACTGATCCACCAATGTAATGAATGAACATCGGTATCGCTACCGCACCCACCAGGAGATCAGCCACTGCCAAGCTGATTAGCAACAGATAGGTTTTCCTGTGTAAGGACTTAGTGATGGCGAAGGCAGCTATTATAAGGATATTCCCAATAATAATTGCCGCCGACTCTAGGCCGTAGACGACGCACCAAGCTCGGTTTTCTTTTTCTGAAATTAGCGTGGTCATCTTGATTTCCTCGTCAGTGAAGAGGATGTGACCTAAAATCGTATATGGTGGAAAAAGTAATGCAGCAATATATTAATTGAGTATCGGAAGTAAGCCGAGAATGTGTTGAGTTTGCTCCACTTCGTTTTGTTCCAGAACTTTATAAAGTATTGAGCACCTCCCCTCACCTGTGTCACCGTCTCAACCAATCAGATGCAAACAGAGATCAATAGCATTTTCCTGCACTTCGAACGATTTGTTTGTCTTTTTTGTTTTGTTTTGTTTTGTTTTGTTTTGAAGCCTTTTTTTTTGGCTCTTTGAAATATTTTTCTTTCCTAACCCTAAAATCGCAATTATTTGGGCTTTATTTTTCAAAAATGTGCTTTAAGTTCACTTGAATTCACCCATCTACCAATTGAATCGGCTAAAAGAGTTTTTAGTTGGCCGAAATCCTTCAAATAAAAAAGCTCGAAAGTTAAGAAATTATAAAAATTCAATACTCCCTTACACTTTTTTATTCTATTTACATAACACGACGCTAACGACATTGCTTATCCAAGCAATATATGCAGACGTATATCATATATGAATGAAGGGGGTGAGTTTCTAAAGAAACTGTGGTGCCGCGTCGGTGGGAGAGCATAACAGGATAATTTAATACTATCAAGTGAGTTGATAGCGTTAATTGGCCACCGTGAAGTGTTTCAAAGCAGACGTTTCGAGCGTTAGCCAACTCAGTTATCAATATGTATTATGAACTCAATTGATAATACTGAATTCCCCTGTCATACGTGAAATTTGTAATGGGCCTTGCTCATCATAGTTGGTAGAGCATCGGAGCGCAGATTCCGAAGGTCTGAGGTGCGTTTCCACAAAAGTGTATTTTTGTTCGCGAAGGCCGGAAAATTTGAAATAAATAAGTTTGGTAAGAGTGTCATCTAACAATCTACTTAGTAACCCCGCTTACTCATTCCCTTTGCTCGAGCCCTATTGGAGAATATTGGCTCCCGGTCGTTTTGTACGGACTTCGCTGCGCTCGGTCAGCACTGCTACTACTATAGGCCAATATTCTCCATTACGGCCCTTGCGCTCATTTAATAAAAAGTTATGAATTGTTTCTATAGTAGCTGATCTGTACTTATTTATTCATTTTCTTTTTGTAGATGAGAAATTTTTTGATGAACTATGGGAATTATGTAATATTAGAACTGAACCAAAAGATTTGTTCACAGATATTCCATACCAAACAAAGCGTAGATAAACTATTCGCTTCATGTTAAAGAATTTTTAAACAGAGGTGGCCATAGAGCAAAGCTTTGATCAAAAGCAATGGACATTAACTCGTGGGCGGAGCTTAGATAATCTATGCTGGTTCATGACAGAAAATTCATTAAGACCAGAAAGATATGTATGAAGTTTAAGGTAAGAAGTAAATAACCGATTTTGAATACACTTCGGAACAGTTCGATCGCCTCTAAAAATTGATTGTGATAGCAAGATTTGACAGTTTCTGACTGATTGCAGTTTGCTATAAAGCTGATAATTGAGTAAGAGTTTACGCATCAGTTGTCTTTAGAAGACACTCTGTCGCAGTCTAAATACTAAGAAAGCTATTTACATTCCAGACTATGATAATCTGTTTAGAAGTCGTGTCAAGATCATTTTGTAATCTGCCTAGGAAAGTGGTAATTTTTGTTAAGTAAGCCACAAATGATATCATGACAGTTATTGTACGTTTTCATCAGTTTGCGACAGTACCCGATATAAGTGCTATTGAAGTGAAAAGATCTGATGACGCCGACCTTGGGTTCATTTTGCAGTGTTAAATCAAGTGGACCCTTTCTTTTGTCTATTTGCTTACTTGTTTCGAATCTAATCGTTGCCATCATACGTCAGAAGAGTGTTTTTATCAGAAATATACTTTAGATCTTTGCAAAACTCTTGACAACTCTTAGCGGTCTACCAACGTAAATTCTAACTGCTAATCGAAGAACTCATTCATATATCCGCATATCCTGATCTTTCAAATTTTAAGCTCGAATAAAATTTACACAAACATGGCTTTGTTTTGGATCGTGGGAAAAATTAAGACTTACTTTCGGACACGAGTGCAGAGCTTCATATAGAGTTCAATCACAGCGCTCAGAAAGTTGACTTCATGTCATGATTGCCGCGATGATGACTAGATTTGATATCGCGTTTAAAACGTAAGTAAAAAAACTGCGTGGAATTTGAAAAGTTCCGAAACATTGTTCAAAGCCTCACTTGAGTTAAAGGGTTTAGGTATAAAGCTTCTGTGTTAATCCTTGAAGTAATTTGGCGGCTGTAACTCTCTGTTGCTCGCCTGCCGTAGTTTATGTGCCATTTAACGATGTTCATTATCACGTTTGATTAGAAATTACTCCAAAGTTAACTCTGCAACAAATCTGTACTCCTAGCTATCGGCAAAAGTATTCGACGGCAGAAAAGAAGTTTTCGTCTTCAAATCACTTTTTGAAAGGAACACTGAGATAAACATTTTTACCATATTTCAACATATTTTCAATACTATACATTGTTCTAAATAAGAGCGTAAACTTACTGGCTCTGACTAGTGTTCACTCTTTGGAAGGAATGCGCTTAGTTTTTGTTAAACTTCTATGGGCTGAAATTAAAGACAGGAAGGTTTTACATGATAATAAACTTTTTAGAAGTAAGTTGCACAAAAAAGCAACGCCGAAAGTCAACTGTTGACGCAGTTAATTATATCAACGGACAGAGCCTGTTAATATCGAGATACTTTACCTTGGCCTCACTTTAACTACTCTGTCCCTTGTCAAACGTTCTGGAATCAAGGAAGAACCAGATTCAACAAAAAGCTTGTTTCCTTATGAAATGAACTAAGAATACGTGTATCTTTTGCTCACTTGATAATTTAACTTGCAGATTTTCACACCGACACTGATGCACTTTTCACGTCTCACTGAGCAAGCGACAAAGTGTGACAATGCCGTATACTGAACTTGTATTAAAATTATGCATATTTTAATCTTTCTCGTATTTGGTCCAATAATGACCAATTTGTGTCGCAGAAACTCATCTTGGGATTATTTGCTTGACAGCAAAAACCTAGAACACGATTGAACTCGTAAATTTAACCTTCCGTCGAATTTCAAATACATTTTCCAATAGCAGGTGGTAAATAATCGGCAATTTCTCCCGACTACTTTGCAACAAAATGTATGGCGAAAGGAATGGAGAATAAGTAATCAGATCTTGAGAGTTGATAGGTGAAGACGGAATAAATATGGAAAGTGTTTTTCGTCAACGAAAAGGTCACGAACGAGAATTTTTTTTTGTTTTGCTTTATGAGATTGGATTATGTAACAAATAAAGATCATTTCGAGCACTTTGTGATTTACAAGTTTTATGTAACTACTAACTACATCAGAATTAAACTTAATCATAAACTTTCTGATCACTCCGTCGATCATTTTTCACTGATGTCCAATGATATGCCATGGTCGAAATAAAAATGCTCTTGGAATCAGAATTTAATAAATCTCTAATTCGTGTGCTTTCGCGCACGGGCGAGTTGGGAACGACTGATTGCCACAATGTCCACATCTTAATGAGTAGGTGAGTGACTCATTTGCATATCGGAGTCCGCATTAAAATCCGTTTGTACGAGTTAAAAGTTACTACCACAAAGCGCGATCAGAGTTCAGCTCCAGGGATAACCATGACTTGATGGATACTCCACTTAATCCTATCAGTGTCCTTTTGTTTTCATTTTAAAAAAAAAGTTCATACTTTTGTTGGTCATATGACACCCTTATTCACAAGGCTCGGTATGTTCCAAATTAACAAAAATGTGAATGTTTACGCAGTGCAGTTGTATCAATAAAGTTTGTTTGCAATTTCTCTGGAGTTGCATATTTCTTATGTAATAAAGGCCTTTTTCTCTGTGATTGTTAAACATAGGTCTGCTAGGAATGCAAGAGTTGTCTTTTTGTGCATGTCGGCGGTTTGGAATGGGAACCCAAGTAACTGATGTTTACATTTTTGTAGGCCGAGGGAGGTTTTCAAAACCAAGGACACAGCTTTTCCCAATAGAGATCGACCTAGGCTTGTGAATAACATTTTTATTTTTTCTAAAACTTAAAGAAATGCTTTCCCAAACAACCCTGATGATGTAGGGCTTTAATTACGGCAAGATCCTCCATTAGAGGAACAAGTTTTGAGCAAGTAGATGATAGAGAAAACAGATGTAATGTAATACCAAGCAAAGTTTGAAACATCTTATTATAAGCATCTGTCTCGATCTGAACCCTGTCATTAAGAAAGCGCGTAAAAAAAAGAAGCCTTCATACACTTTTGAAGAAACAACAGACCGTTTTGGCAAGCAAACTTTAGTTAAATGACTAACACGATGACTTTTTCTTTTCATTGATCTAACGGAAAGTATCATTCTCTTCCAATAGATCTATCAATTGATCTACGAAGAATTACCTCGATCTCTTCAGTTATAAATATAAAGGAAAGTCAATTCAAATGGATGTTTTGAAGTTGTGAGTCTGCTTGTTTGTTTGCTGCAATGACGTGTGTAAATCTTGTCTTCAGTCAAATGAGACGCTTTTTCTTGCCAGACACAAGGGGATTCAATGCGACTTTTAGTCATCGAATTACCTTGGTTTCTATTGTGTAATGTACGGTAAAAATTTCCAAACTCATGAGACTTGTTAAGAACTAGCGAATGTTTACTTATTGTAGAACTCAAAACTTCGTTCGATGAATTGAGAAACAAAAATCTTCGTTCGATGAATTGAAATTTGAAAAAGCTTTCATTTTTTGAAAATTTAATTTAAAAAAAGCATGTAATCAAAAAGGCAAAAAACATTTATTTTTCTTGAAAGTACTACAGGAAACACTCTGATCTAATATTCCACCATTAACTGTGCAAACCAGTGTATATTGTTTTCAGGAAGGCCAAGTCATCACCAAGACTTTTCACACTGGAAAACATCACCTCCCGGTCAGGA